AAAGATTACCATCAGGTTGAATTATGAGATGTACTAGTATTCTTACTGAAAAGACCATGTATTTGCATATTTACACCTGTTCTTATTCCAATACGCGTGCTTTTTGAGTTCTGCCACTATTGCTGTCCCTGAGCGATATGTTTAAAATCTAACATTTGACAGATTCTTGATTTTTGGTATAGTGTCTGCAATATCTGTCGCAATTAAAGAATTTTAATTTTACTGTAGTGGAGTTAATTCCAGCTCTTAAAGGGAATAATACTTAAAAACAGTCGCACGGTGCATTTTTCACAATGTCTACGATATACTTTCAGTGGTCAGGAAAGTGTTAGTTTGTAATATTTCCATATTGGAATTGTGATCTGATTTTTTCAAATCGGGTTTCATAAATATCATCGGCACTGTGCGTTTTTTGCCTAATGTCTACAATATTGAAGTTCGCAAATAGGCTAGTGTTAGGTTTTAAATTTTCAGATATATCCTTATTTAGTAGAATCTTTCAGATATCGTCAGCATTGGGCGTTTTTCGCCAGATGTTTAAGATATTAATAGTTTCGCAGGTAGATTAGTGTTTTTTTCGGAGACGGGATATGTGTAAGGGTTTCTTCGGAATCTGGCTTTTCGCATAATGTCTACGATATAAGTTTCACAGTTAGGCCAGTGTTAGGTTTTAAATTTCCAGTATATTGGTATTTCTCCTGATTTTGCAGGATCGCGCTATGTATTGTCCGCACTGTGCAATTTTCGCATAATCTCTACGATATAAGTATTTCAGTTAGGCTAGTGCTAGGATTTAAATTTCCAGTATATTGGTATTTCTTCTGATTTTGCAGGATTTTTATATATTGTCGGCACTGTGCGCTTTTCGCATAATGTCTACGGTATAAGTTTCGGAGTTAGGATAGTGTTGGGTTTTACGCTGATAGGCTAGTGTTAGGTTTTAAATTTCCAGTATATTGGTATTTCTCCTGATTTTCCAGGATCGCGCTATGTATTGTCGGCACTGTGCGTTTTTCTCATAATGTCTACAATATAAGTTTCGCAGTTGGGCTAGTGATAGGTTTTAAATTTCGAGAATATTGGGATTTTTCCTGATTTTGCAGGATCGCGCTATGTATCGTCGGCACTGTGCGTTTTTCGCATAATGTCTACGGTATCAGTTTCGGAGTTAGGATAGTGTTGGGTTTTACGCTGTTAGGCTAGTGCTAGGTTTTAAATTTCCAGTATATTGGTATTTCTCCTGATTTTACAGGATCGCGTTATATATCGTCGGCACTGTGCGTTTTGCGCATAATGTCTACGGTATCAGTTTCGGAGTTAGGATAGTGTTGGTTCTTACGCTGTTAGGCTAGTGTTAGGTTTTAAATTTCCAGTATATTGGTATTTCTCCTGATTTTGCAGGATCGCGCTATGTATTGTCGGCACTATGCGTTTTTCGCATAATGTCTACGATATAAGTTTCGCTGTTAGGCTAGTGTTAGGTTTTACGCTGTCAGGCTAGTGTTAGGTTTTAAATTTCCAGTATATTGGTATTTCTCCTGATTTTGCAGGATCGCGCTATGTATTGTCGGCACTATGCGTTTTTCGCATAATGTCTACGATATAAGTTTCGCTGTTAGGCTAGTGCTAGGTTTTAAATTTCCTGTATATTGGTATTTCTCCTGATTTTGCAGGAACGCGTTATATATCGTCGGCACTATGCGTTTTTCGCATAATGTCTACAATATAAGTTTCGCAGTTAGGCTTGTGTTAGGTTTTAAATTTCCAGTATAAAGGTATTTCTCCTGATTCTGCAGGATCGCGTTATATATTGTCGGCATTGTGCGTTTTTCGCATAATGTCTACGATATAAGTTTCGGAGTTAGGATAGTGATGGGTTTTACGTTGTTAGGCTAGTGTTAGGTTTTAAATTTCCAGTATATTGATATTTGTTCTGATTTTGCTGGATCGCGTTATATATGGTCGGCACTGCGTTTTTTGCATAATGTCTACGATATAAATTTCGCAGTTAGGCTAGTGCTAGGTTTTAAATTTCCAGTATATTGGTATTTCTCCTGATTTTGCAGGATCGCGCTATGTATCGTCGGCACGGTGCGTTTTTCGCATAATGTCTACGATATAAGTTTCGTAGTTAGGCTAGTACTGGGTTTTTCGTAGTTAGGCTGGAGCTAGGTTTTTCACAGTTAGGCATGTGTTAGGTTTCTCGCAGTTAGGCTCTGAATTTCTAAGTTTAGTTTTAACCAGTTAACGTATGGATACTCAAATGTTTTTCTTTTTCATAGGTTTTCCTGAAAGTGTATCAAAAGTTAACACTACAGCCCGACAACCATCCGCTTCTAAGAACCTTTCGACAGACTGCAAATATCTTCATTCCTAGCAACAAACCTGTTATGTAACAGATCCACATCAGAGTAAAGATTATTTTCGCAAAAGCTTTGCTTCAGCTTTCAACTTTTGAAGGAAGTTTACTACGGGACGCATGGAATTGGTTTTTCTCATCATTTTCTGGATGGAAAAAAAACGTCCAGCCTATTCAAGATATCTGCATCTCTGTGGGTGTTTCTGTCCATTCTCAGATGTCTCGCAACTTCCATCGTCTGTCAGTTCCATTCCAAATGTCATAAAGAGATCCATTATTTTCGAAGACTGAAAATGACCTGATCCAATACCTGTCTGTTAAAAATCTTCATATTTTGATGAAATTTGTTTTTGTTAGTTATCTGAATTTGTTTATTAAAATTGATCTTAAACTGAATACATGTTTGTTTTTATTCCACAATTTTCTCATTGCTGAATTTATTAATCTTCGCCTAGATAAAATACTCTCACAATAATTATGTGGTGCTGAATATTATCTTGACTGTGAAAACTGGTGTTGACGTACGACTTAAATGGTATAGTTTAAATCTAAACCCTTAATATTAAACAATACTGAGCTTCCCGCTTTTACGAGAATTTTCACTTCCGAAAACGCCAATATAACCAGGAAAGTAAAGTAGAATATCTCGTAGTTAGTATAAAATCTGGAATAAGATAACGTGAATTTGTTTTCAGCGCTAATATTAATCAACAGAAACCTTAATTTGCCGCATAATATGTAAATTTTTTGCTGTGCAATGAGGATAAATATATTTATCTTTGACTACTGTATAAACTGATTTTATATTGCGAAATTTCGATCCGCTATTTTTTGCAGTATTAAAGAATTTCTTTTTACAGTCTGGTTTTTAATGCAAGGAAATATTACGAAATATCTTAATTATATAGAAGGGAAATATTTTTTAAATCCTAAACTGTGAGTGGTTTTTTTTAATTGTTGGATAATTTTTACCATTTTGATTTTTAATCAGATTGTTAGACTATAAATTTTATTTGATTAACTGAGACAACAAGAATTTTGATAAATATATCTACCTACAAATTGCTTTGAGACAAAGTTTTGATATGTGTAGAGTGCTGTTGTGTCACAACAACCAGAAATAAGACGTGAGTTGTACCAAACAATTTATTTATACATTCACACGAAAAATCACAAAATATTACCCAAAAGAAATATCTCTTCTCAGAAAAAAANCTTTTTCAACAACAAAAAAAGAACATCACTTCTCGTGTGTGTCTCTCAAGCAACATCATTTTAGCATTACCTCTCGAGGAATTGATGCTTTTAGCTCAGTTGTCACACACTGTTACGTTACAGTGCCAAGAGTTTACTACTAAAAGGAAATGATCTGATTCGCTTAATGCGGATGGATCACATATAAATAAAGAATCCACTATTATAGTTCTTATTATTCAGATATAATACGTACAAATCAATAATAAAAAGATGGATATAAGTGATATCTTACAAATTTGTAGAATTGCACTTTAATTCTTACGTAGTTACAATTGGGTGACTTAAAACGATTCGCACTCACGCTATAACGTCCGTTTTCACTCCTGACGAAAAGGTCGCTATATCCAAGGGCGACAGTAGTTACGTATACAATCAGGTCATGTATACGTAAAAAAATTTTTTTACACAGGACATTTTATGAGCAACAATTTCTTACTTTCAACTCTTTTTATGTTATGCTCTTATATAAAAAATCATTAAGTAAAGGAATATTTAATTGACTTTAAAATATAGCTTTTTAGGAAATTTCTGCAATTTGTCAATGGAACCACATTATACCTCATTGTGTGCCCCCTAATTTGTCTACAATTATTTCCTTTCGTATGATAATATATTTTAGTACAGTATAATACCTGACCAAGTATCGAAATAGTAGGTTAACATTAAGGGGAATAATGGGGCAATATATATACTATATGAGCAACTATTTCCCAACTTTAAGGCTTTAATTATAAACGCACTTACAAAAAATATCAAAGGTCAAAAATAACTAATTTAGTAAAATGTAGCAAGAGATTTATGTAAAATATCACATTGCATCGTTATTTTGATTCATCCATTTTTTCCTTAAAAAAAAAGAGTACTCTTAAAAGAAGGCTGAAAAGCGGAATCAAATGAAATATATTTTGCCGTTTATTTGCTAAAATGTTGTTGAAGCCGATATGTGTGCTGTACTAGTAGAGCCACATACATTTATTAGAACAAAAAAAGTTACTTCTTAGGTTTCCTTGTGTCTACAGAGATAGACCAATGCGCTGTTTATAATTAATGTGTTAATCGGATCAGCATTATTTTTCATGAGCTCGCAATACAAAGCACGCAAAACCGCAAATCAAAATATTAATAAACATTATTGCATGTAATGTTTAATCACATGAAAAAGCTACCCTTCTTGGTAGTGAGTAGTATAATATTCAGATTTGTATTTTATTTGCTAAAAAAAATTTTTATTTTTTATTTTTTAAAAAATTAAGAAAGACACTTTACAACAGTTTCGTTACTATAATTAATGTGCATTGGTGCCCTGTGCCTCTTTGAACCTTTAAGATTTCATTTTAGTTTCTTTTTTTTTTTGTGTACTTAATCAGAAAAATTATTAGCAACATAACTTAAAATGCATGCTTTATTTTACCATAAAAATAAAACACAACTGATATTTACAAAAAATGTTTTATAAATAACAATCAACGCATATTACTCGTAACCATCGTCCAAATTATCATCTTCATCATCCAAGTAGTTTTCACCATTATCAAAATAACTAGTTGCATAGTCGTTCTCCTGAAAAAAAAAAGTAATTGTTATAAAAACTTCAATAAGGTCCTTTCCCCCCCTAATATTTCGAAAAGAATATTAGAGGAATTTTTACATTTACAAGTCATGAAAGAAGAAAGGAACCATTGCGAGGATTTCTCCGAAATAAATACTTTTCTGAATAATTTCAAAGATTAATCTATCCTTTTTTAATAACATTTTGTACATAAATACAAAAAATGTAATTAACCAACCGAAAAATTGTTTTAAAAGCTCTCATCTGAAATTTTTTCTGTTTCATTTGAAAAAATAAAAATTTTGAAATGCATTGGGAACTAAAGTTTTTAATGTCAAAAAGGAATTGGAAAGGATAATTTTTATTTCATTTATACTTACAATAACATTTTAAAAATGCAAATAAGCTGTTTCAAAAATAATTTTAAAAAAAACCTTTCTTCTGGAAATGAAGATAGAGTACTTTTGTATAAAGTTGTACTAAAGCAGGAAGACTGAAAATATTGTTTCAGGTCAAATGATGGCAAAGTTGAAATCGTTTCAAAAAATTTAATGTTCAACTTAATAGTTAAAAAAAATTGAAAGATAATAATATAATATAATAATTTTTCATTACTATCTCATTCTTAAACATCTAGTATATTGCAAAACACTTATTATAATATTTCCTTTGGAGATGAAAATAACCCACTCTAAATTTGAAATTTGTTCTAATTTCTTTTTAAAGTATTGGACTTTATGGTACCTTAATATAAATTTATTAATTGTCCCTATTTTGTAGCCACTCTGGTTTCCAGTAAACTTGTTTATGCACAAAAACAAGAATTATAAATTTAGTATGTTAATGAAAGTTGATAGTTTGAAAATGAATAGGTAAATTGCTATTGAAGAAAAATACTTTTTTAAGTAGCTTAAAAAATTAAATTTTTTGTGTTTATTGTGATGAGTTTTGACCCATGAAACCCGAGTCCTACATTGAGTCAGTCTTAAAAAAATCTAAGAAATACATTATAACAAAGATCTATAGAAGATGACAATTAAAAGCAAGTATCAGCTTCAGTAGGAGAGAGATGAAGTCTAAAGTGCAGAACCTGATCACATATTAAAAAAAAAAAGATGATGTGTAATTTGTATAGAGAGGTTGCCTGGTAGAGTGATATGTATAGATTTTCACTGTTTAAGTATTTAAGCTATTGTAAAGTTAAAATTCATTTGTCTCTCCTAATAAAAATACTCATATACTTTAACTTCTATCACTTTCTCCAAAATTATTTACTAATGCTAGTTTAGCTGCAGAGTCTCATTTCAGAATCAATGCTAAAAAAAAAAACCACTAATTAAAAAAAAAAAAAAAATTGAAATTTATGTAAAAATAAATTTAAAAGAAAAACAAAATTTTAAATCAATTAAAAATAATTTACTTTTTTTTCAGCACATAATATAATAACTTGCTGAAAATATTCTTTACAGTAAAAAATTCAGATTTTGCTGGCACAAGTAAGTTACAGCTATTTAATTAATCCATTTTAATTTTTTCAAAAAAATAAATAAACAAACAAGACAATATATTTTTTAGAATAAAAAATTTAGATTTTTCTGGCATAAATAAGTTACCCCTATTAATCCATTTTAATTTTAGCACAAAAAAACTTAAAAATAAAAGGAAACTACTATTTAAAAATTTTTTTTAAAAAAGAGCCGATGGCATTCCACGTCATTGGCAGCTTCATCACGGCTATTAAGGGTTTAGCTGGTGAAACGAAAAAGTACCACACTTTACATTTCTATATTTTCTTTTAAGAATTTGTTTAATAATTATTTTTTTTATCACCAGACGCTTGTGCTTTATAGACAACAGTAAAATTTCCTGGTAAAATATTTTCCTATAAAGGAATTGAAAATATGTAGAGTTGAGAATCATTATTTTATATAAATAATTATTAACCTCTTCCATTTCTTCGTCTTCATATTCTTCAACATTTTCTGCTCCTTCTTCTTCTTCCTCATCGGGATCAAGAGTGTTCTCTTTCTCTTCCAGTGCCTTTTGAAAGTATGAAACATACATTAAATAACTCACACATTTACAACTGAATAATTCAGATCTAGAAGAAGATTAATTCTAATACAAGGTTGCCACTCATACCAGGAAAAAAAAAATCGCCCTTTTTTTCCCTCTAGTACATATTATACACAATATATTAAGAGAAAACACAATTACTGTTCTCTTGTGAGAGCTAAATTGGGCTAACTATATTTATTAGCTTTAATTGCAGGAAAAACAGTTGAACATACTTAAATAATGCTATAGTAAATGAAATAGTTTATTACAGTTGGAATATCCTTAAATATCCCATGGAATACCCAGTTGAGTGGTCACCATTTTTTTAAAAGACAAAAATTGAAACAGAATACCCAGTATTTTCCCAGTTTATAAAGAAAAAATCAAATTTCCGTACATTTTCCCTGTTATTTTAGGTGACTTTTTAAATTCCCTGTATTTTTCAGGTTTTTCCTGTGGAGTGGCAACCCTGAACACACAATATATTAAGAGGAAACAGACATTCACTAGAATCTTGAGAATGTCTGATCAAAGGTTACCACAAATTTACGAATAATACTTTTCTTGTTTGAAAGTGTTCTTCAATATTTTCGTTAAATGTTAGCTAACTTGGTTTATTTTTGAGTTAAATATACGTTTACGATCTTTACACTAACCTAAACTGACATTATTTACCGAAATTTGCTACTCAGAGCTAGATTGATATATTAAATGCATTTTTCCCCTTTAATGTGTTACTTTAGATTGTAGGTTCCCAATTTCGCATCACCATCGACTTTTCAAATCTAAAATTTTTCTACCAAAATAAGAGTAATAAATTTTTTTAAAATCCTAATTTGATTCTTTTAGTATATTTATTATGATACTCTTCTGTCCCTGTCTTATTTTTTAAAGACTATTTTAGAATAATATATAAAATTAATTCTTATAACAAATTTGATGAATAACTATAATTTAATATTTTTGCTTACCAAACAGACTGATATATTAAATACAATTTGTGCCTGTGTCAAATTGTGCATGAAATTTAATCATTTAAGGAATCTCTTTATCAGTAATTTATAATATATTAAATAGTACATTAATACAATTTGTAGCAAAAAATATAACAGTTAATAAATTCAGACACTGATTTAAATAAAATGTAATATGATGTAATGTAGAACGAAACAAGTCCTTGCTTTCACTAATGATGTAATATTGATAACAAGAAGTAAAAATGCACTTGTTGACCTTTTTAAAGACTTAATTAAAGAAGCTAGTCTTTTTGGTTCAGAAATAAATTGTGATAAGACCAAATACATGATAATGGATTGTAGGGGAACGGATATATAAACAGAACTACAAACCAATGAAATGACAAAATTTGAGAGAGTTAGGGAATTTAAGTACTTGGGTTCAGTTGTCACTGAAAACAATATTATGCCAGAGATTAAGCAAAGACTAAATGATGGAAATCGCAGTTATTTTACACTTAAGAGATTGCTAACATCAAAAGTAATAACGAGAAAAACAAAGCTTCAGGTTTATAAAACTATAAGACCAACCGCTATCTATGGATCAGAGACGTAGACTCCAATCCAGAAACAAGAAAAAATGCTGATTACCTGGGAAAGAAAAATTATTAGAACTATTTTTGGACCTGTCAAAGAGGGTGATCTGTGGAGATGGCGATACAATTTTGAAATTGCAACACTATTTAAAGAAAAAGATATAATAAATTATGTAAATGCAAAGAGAATTTAATGGCTAGGACACCTTGAGAGAATGGAGGATAACAGAGGCACTAAGAAGATATTCAATGGGCAGTGCCAGGGCCAAAGGAAAAGAGGAAGGCCGGTCAAAAGATGGTTTGATGAGGTGGAAAAAGACCTTAAGACTCTAAAAGTCCGAAACTGGAAACAAAGAGCTAGAGACAGACGACTTTGGAGGAAAATTGTTAGTGAGGCCATGGTCCAACATGGACTGTAATGCCAGGGAGTTAGTTAGCTAGTTAGATGTAACGTTTATCTTAAAATGAACTGTATTAAGGTAGAATCATAGGATTACATTACATTTAAGAAACAACTCTTTCAGTTTTAAAATCTTAATTCAGAAAACAATCAAAATCGAAGATTTAATAATAGCTTATTAGAATAAGAAAAATAAATATTAAAGAGAAGTATCTTTTAATTCAGGATAGAAAATATTTTACATCAAAACAATTCTTTAATGACTTTTATTCATTTTATACTGATGACAACTAAAATAATATTGAAGTTAATGTGGGAAAACTTGCTCCTACCATGAGAATTTACAACAACAGGAAAACTATAACAACATATTAACATAACTGTAACAACTGTTATAAATAGTTGTACAGTCGCCCCAACTTAATCGCACATCAGATAATTGAATAACCCCCACTATACAGATAAAATTTAATGGAACCAAAACATGTTGTATGAAACGAGTATTGAATTTCCATGGTGAAATAGTTATTTGTTGTTTGCAGTACTCGCTTAATTGCATAAAAAAGAGATACTAAAATGAAAAATATATCGATACATAATTTATTACTAAAAAATTTTTCGTCAGTCAGAATGGAATTTCTGTTTTTTAATGTTAAGAAGATCAGAGTACAATAGGTGGTCACTTATATACTTCTAGTCTAGTCACTTGTTTAGTTAAACCTGTTTACACACTAGTGCGTCTTTCTCTAAAGTAGAACAATCATTGCTTACTCCAAGGAATAACTCTGAGTTGGTAGCACGATATGCGAGAAAAGGAATAATCAGGGAGAAAAAAAGGTCTTGATAACAATAAATTTTAAAAAAATCACAAACAGAAATAGATAATCAATTTGGAATTTTTAAAGTAACAAGGCAAAAAAAAGCATCAATTTGTTTCTTTTAATAATCCTGCATATCGAATAATAAAAGAGTTAATTTTAAAAATAATTTTTAAAAAAATAACATTTATATAATTTCAAACCCTTTTTTCAACTTTTTTTAGGCAAGTTGTAATTGAGAATTGTACCTTCAAATTATAAATTAAGTCACGTTTCTTTTTAGTAATAACATCTTAAATTATAAATGGAAAAAAAAAAGTTTTTAAACCACAAGATGTTTCTTGGGTGAAAGACACCAAACAAAGAAACACTGGATTAAGAATCTCTTCTTTCTAATAAAAACTACTCTGATTGAGCAACTTGCAATTACAAATAGTGAAAGGTTGAGAAATTTCCTTAAGGAGGGGAGATGCAAATTCAGAGTTGAAAGTAACACAGTGCTGTTTACTGAAGGCGGTAGCATTGGGGAAAAAGTATTGCTTTTCTTTCACCCCTCTCGTTTGAAAAAAGGATGCCAAATCCTGCGATTATCAGATGCATTTACTGAATAAGTCATTCTCTAAAAGTGACAGACTCTGATTCCTAACCTACCCATTTATTTAAAAAAAATTAAATACGAAGAAAAGAAAAGGTAATTTAAATTTATCCACATAGTTTTCTTTTTCTCCCATTCCATAACTGAAATTTTTTTTCAGGATTAAGAAATAAAAATGCATTATGCTTAAAATTAAAGAATTGGTAGAATTTTTAATACAATATTTATAGTCGCACAAAGGAAATTATTAACCAGTAAATTAGCCAAATATCAAAAAAGTATTAGCTAATTTTCAAATGGGTTAATCAAAGGCAAATCTTAACAGTTTTATATGATTCATTCTCCCCCCACCATTGAATCAAAATACAAATTTATGATAAATTGAACTATCTTATAAAATGCAACTTCAAATCAAGAGTCATTATACAGTTGAGGAGGAGATTATGTAGAAGTTTTATCGTCTTTGAGGAAAATAAATAAGAATAGGTTGAGGTTTATAACTTCTTAAACTACAGCAGTAATAAAAAGATAAATCTGAAACAATGTTTGGTGTTTCTTTAGATTCCAACTATTTTTTTAAATACATATATTTCATTATTAACAAAACATTTCATTCAAGTCTTATTTATTAATAAAATCCTTTTTACTTTCTCACTTAGAATCATTCAGAAAAAAAGAAGTTGAAGTTATTTGAATAATTTAAATCCGCTTTATGGGATTTATACAACTAACAGAGATTTTTTTTAAATAGAAATATGAGCTGCGGTTTAACATGTTTATTGCCAGTCGAGTGCAGATGGTTATAATTGAAAAGTGGTAATCTATAAAGATAAAATCAAAGTTAAATTTTTGTTGGAATGATAAAATGCATGCCACTTAATCAGCTTTAATGACACAAACTGTAGGAAAGAGTTTCGTCACATGATATCGCGTGATTCGTCAATGTTACGTGTTAATGTTCACTTTACTGTTTTTTTTATATTTGCATTATCTCTCATATTGCTTAGATTATCTGGATTAATTTTAATTAGTTATGCAACCTATCTAACAGAGCCTACTGTAATAAAAAAATAATAATAATAAAAGATTTGTTTCGAAATATTTTAATTAACATAATTTTCAGGATCAAGGGGAATCTATATTTTTCTTGTAGGTAGAAAAGTTGTTCACTAACACTTTGACTAAAATGCTATTTGTTTTGCCTTTACGATTTTATCACATTTGGCAAGGTGGCGAATGCTTAGTGCGGGCCTTGAACATTTTTTGAGGAGAAACCCTTCAATAATTTTTTTCAGATATATACCTATAAAAAAATCTGCACTAAACTTTTACTTTTCCATATTTGCATCCTGAAAAATTCAGTATAAGATTTTTAAAACGCTGTTTTAAAAATGCTAAAATGCATAAATTCCAAGTATGAATGTTACTGTTAATTGAAACTTTTTAAATACAACAAAAAATGTTAAGACTATGAAAAATCAATAAAAAAATATAAACAATATCTTTATAAAAGTTTTTGCAAATTTCTGATTAATTTTTTTAATAAATTTTTTTTAAAAATCAATGCTATAAAAAATGTTATAATATACAATATATAAAAACAGATTTAAATCAATCAACCCTGATGGATTATAAGTTAATTTTGATCCATTTTTAAACATTTAGAAAATGCACGACAAAACATATATTTTTCAGCACCCTCATAAATATAACAATAAAGAGGTCATTCATTGAAAAAATAAATAACGAAAAAAAGGGAAGATCATTAAAGGAATAAAATAAAAGATGCAGGGAAGAATCAAATGTGTTTTATATCAAAGAAGTGTACTAAGAAAAAATCTTGCAACACAATGGTTTGAAAAGATTGATACATGCAGATTCATACTTAAATTTCCAAGTTATGTAGTAATCGAATGGGATTAAAATGGGAGCTAAAAAATGTTTAAGAATAAAACTTTATGCTTTAGTACATAACTTAAAATAGCAGGAGAAAAAAGAAAGCAAAATAATTCAATACAAAAAAAAGAAAAAAAAAAAAGAATGAAAATTTGAAACCATTAATTCTTCTAATACCTGCAATTTTTCTACGACTGCAGTCTCTTTTTTCACAATAGGTTTCTTCACAATTTTTCTCTTTTTTTTTGGCTTTTCAAAAAGTTCACGTGGGAAAAGGCTTTTATCTGAAACAGCAATTAAAAAATTTATTTTAGAATAGAAAGATACTTCGTGAATAAGTTTTATTATGGACATAATTAAAGAAGAAATTTAAAAAAAAACAACTCTTAAATAGAAACTATAGAATATTTCACCCTATCAAGTTATTCAACAAATAATAACGTTTTCAGGTACAAGATATCAGAATAAATTGCATATGTAGTAAATGTTGGTGCATTAAACATATCACATTTATATAAAATAATTCCCATTAAAATGCATTCAGAGATCTAACATTTTTTTAAAGAACTAATTTATTTCCATTAACTCTTAATTGTATTGACATAGTTCTTCAGTATTGTTTTGGAATTAATCTTATAAAATCTTTAAACTACATGGCTATAAGAAATCAAACACTTTTCTTTCTTGTAATAATAATCATTTATTACAATATCTTTTTTAGTCAAATCCATTCATTTTTTTCTTCTTCAAAATTCGAGATAGTTGGGAATTTTATCAAATTTTAAAAAGCAAACCAGCTGGGTTGCAGGAGGGGATATTTACAAAGAGCGAAAGATTTGATTTTAACAACAAAAATTATGAAAACAGCCATTAAAAAAAAGTTTTTTTTCATATTAGAAAAATCAAAATAAATTTTCTAAAATGTTATTAAATTAATAACTAAAGTATTAGCATTATAACAAAATTAAATAGCAGAATTGGAGTTAAAATGGTAACCATAGATATTTGTTTCTAACTTTTTGATCATTCACATTTTTAAAAAATCCATTTACAAAAGCTTAATTATTTGTGAGCCCAACTCAAAAATCCTGAAAATTTCTTGAGTAAAATCATTAAAGACGCATTTTAAAAAATAATGTCTTTGTAAATTGAAATCATTGCTATTTCACAACATGAAATTCAAAATAAATTATAAGCAGCATAATTTAAATGAATAATTATGTATAAGTTTACTTTTATCATTAATTACACTTATTATCATTAAACACATAACTAGAATAATAATTTAAAAAAACGATTAATTAATTGAATAAAGTATGCTTCATCTACAAATAAATTGTATGTTTGAATCAATATTTATGAAGCGCAGTCATACCTTTGCACACACTAAAAATAGTATAAATAAACAAATTAATAAAATAATGGACTGTAGAAACAAATTCTAATCAAAACGAGAAAGTTAGTGCTAAGCGATATTCTATTGGGTAAAAAAAAATAATTAAAGAAGGATCTGTTTATACTGCTGGCAGCTTGCCAACAAAAAATAAAAATGTCTTTTGGAAAAAATATCAGACAAATAAATAAATAAAAAAATGGAATAATGTTTAAATTAAAAATATTTTTTGCCAATATAAACTCTAAACATAACTTATAATGAAACGTAACTTGAAATTTTTGGACCTTGGAACTCTGGATCGCGGTTAAAGAAAAATCGGGAAATCCAGATTTTTCCGGAGCACAATCATCTCTGTCTAAGGTAAAAAACGTTTCGAGAAAATCACATTTATACAGAACAAAAGCTCTTCCAGATAAATTGGAATTTTTACCCGAGCAATAGATAGAATAAAATCATCTCTTATTGAAATATAAAAAGACCAACAAAAATAGTACATGATTTACATAAATATGGTTTAAATTTTTACCCCATACAATCTGATCAGCAGCATGAATTGGTTGGTATTTATCAGTGTATCTCTCAATATCTTTTTTAACAGATACGGGTGGAATAAAATATCCAGATTCACGAAAAGAGGATCTAATTTCCTGCTTCAGTGTCACAAGGTAGTCTATTTTCTTCCCAGTAAGCAATGGTACAGGTTTGAATTGAAGAGGCTGAAATAGAATAACTTGTGTCATTGCTCTTAAAAATAGTAAATTTAAAAAACTATCCAACTAAATAATAATAGAAAATAAAATACTATATAACAGTTTTTACTAGATCATGCTAAACAATTCTGTTGTCAGACATTATTTTATAAACATTTTGATAATTAATATTTTAATAGCTAGTAATCAGTATCCAGTAACCACATCCATATATTCAAAAAAATTAACAATTTTAATTACATTTAATAATTTTGTTGAATTCTACTAATATATATATAACATTACTAATAACATTTACTAATATATAAAATTGATTTCAAAACTTAGAAGATTTGCTAGGATTATCAAAAAAATTTCTAACAGCTTTTGAAACTTTCTTTTACCTTTTTCTAAGACACATTTGCGTGAAAAAACATTTTCATCTTTAACCACTACAAAATGAAAATGCCGATCAAATCTAAAGAATGATGAAGAAATGCTTCATTTTGTAGTATCAACAATTTTGCTAAGATAATTGTCAACTATTTTGATAAGTTAATGTAACAAAAAAAATAAGCAGACATACTCTTCCCATTAATACCAGGGGTATGTCCAGATATATTGTGTTGTTGTTGTTACTTTACGTCGCACTAGAGCTGCACAATGGGCTATTGGCGACGGTCTGGGAAACATCCCTGATGATGAGCTTCTCACGAATCCNTTTCAAGGAGTTTTTAAATTGTAAATAGATACAAGATTATGCTCAGCACTGTAAAATTATAATTAAAAAAATTAAATTTTCAAAATTAAACAGCAATTGCTGCTTCTAAATTAGAGATGCAACATACAAATATTTGGTATTTAGCCTATACTGCTCAACACGGACGAATAATTGAAGAATAGTCTGCCCGAAGACAAAACTTAATTTGTTTTCAGCCCTATGAAGGGTTTATTCAATTAACAAAACAATTAATGAAGATAAACAAATTTGAGAAGGGTTCGATTACAAGAAAAATCATTTTGTGAAGGGTTCATTTTTAAGTTGAAATATTTTGTGTGAAGGGTACGTTTTTATGAAAAGATATTTTGTGAAGGGTCCGTTAACGGACTCAAATTTCTTCTAAACAGACCCCTGAATACTTAATCTTCCCATATGGGCTGTTAGAAGTAAGTAAGTTTTCTGAGTAGAGGCCTTCTCAAGTGGCTACACTTAATGTACAGACAATAGTTCATGTTTGAATTTATCGAAGCAATTGAATTTATTTTATTATATTTTTTAATTTGTTAATCACTTAAAATTTTCACATTGTTCCATGTCTTAAAATTAAAGACCTAAAATTGCAATAATAACATGCTACAATACCAGAATAAAATGCAAAGTAACTTATGGAATCCATAAAATTTTAATAAATATTGAGATCTCCACAGTTAATGAAATCCTGGTTTAGAGGATGTAGATCTCAAAATATTACTAAGTTTACAAGAAAAAACATTACAAGGTCTTTGATCAATAAAATGAGAAGATTTCTGTATCATAATCAGTGGCAGAATAATCATCAAGTCTTGGCAACTTCCGACACCAGCCTGCAAGAAAATTAACAGGTAAAAAATCACAGAAAGGGACCAACTCGAAAAGTATAACTCGTAGCCACGCCCAGCAAACATCTATGTGTTTTTTTAATCCAGTTTAAAATCCATTTGGCACCTTTGTGACTTTAGTTGGGGTGGCAGATCACGATATGGAAATACAGTCCAACACGCTTATAACGAGCTCGGATTTACCGAGGGAAACGAGAATATTTGGTTGGATCAATGTTAAGTCTATGGAACAGAAGTCGCTTTTAGCGAGCAATATTTTTCTGTCTTGCAATCTTTTTTTTTCATTTTTCTAGTCTTATTTTTTTTTCAAAATGATATGAAATGTGCGAGTTCAAAGTAAGCTGACAAACTATTTTAAATATGTAGATTAATGAAAAAAATAAATGTTTTGGTAAGAATCTTTTCCTTTATTTTTCTTTCCGTTTATATTTTCTTTCTTTTAAGACTGTAGCGCAACTAGAAATTTTTTGCTGGTTGTGGGGGGGTAGTTGTTATTAAATTAGGAAAAGTATTTAATTAAATTAATTAATGTAATTAAAGTAAGTAAGTATGAATTAAATTTTAAGTCAATTCAACCATTTGACCTCCCAAGCCCTCCCTTTTCTGGTTGCATGTCTACTTTAAGGATCCGTTTATTACGAGCACTCGGATTTAACGAGTCCATGTTTTAAACAAGTTCAACTGTACACCCAATAAAAAAATATTTTTATATGTTATTATCTTCTCATTTAAATTAAGATAAACTATTCTAGTTAGGATAAAAGCACAAACCAAAACTGCATATCATGTCATCATTGTGGTTGCTGGTCCATGGGATCGGTGGGAAACTAATGATCCATAGGATAGCTTCTGGTAGTCCCAGGCAAATTTTAGGGATCCAGAATCACTGGACATCACAAAAGAAATTAATCCCGTACAAATAGAGAATATTACCGTATTGGTAATCTTCCCAAACTGTGCCAAAATAATTGCCAAGTTTTGACAACTTCCGAGCAATAGCACACGAGATATTTAGAAAAAAATATCGCACAAAGAAACCAACTTCAAAAGCCAAACTCATACCCAAAGCACAAAGTAAATTTTGAAAGTTCAAAAACCTTTTGGCTCCTTAGAGATTGCATAAGGTTTCCCACTCAATTTCAGAAGAAGAAAAAAAATCGGACTTTTCCAGGTGTACCAGGTAAATTTAAACGAACATTGAGACTGTATTTTCATCAGTAATTTCTTTATTTTTAATGTGAAATATTACATTTACTGTGTAATAAAATATTAAATGAGGATGAGAACATTTCAGTTAGACTAAAATGTGAGACTTTTATAACATATAATTGTAATAGACGTTAGAAATCAGTTATTGAGATCAGAGTTAAATAATTCTATTACTGACAATTTTAAGACTAGCTATATTCCAAGTATGATATAGGAGTATTCCAGGTTTTTGTAAATAAAATTGCAACTTTCCCTGATTTTTGGAGTTAAAATAAAATTCCCGAACAATTCCAGGTTTTCTCTGACCCGTGGGAACCCTGTTGCATTATGCGCGGTCAGGTACCGATAAGGAAATGTTCTTACAAATATATATTTATACATAGTGGCTAGCTTTACTATACAAGTTTGTTTTTTGTATGTTGTTGTGTAAAAGTTTTTTTTAAAAGTTTTTTGTATGCCACTACCGAGCTGTCGTCATAACTTGGCGATTATTTAAGCGCAGGGACAAATTAAGAAATTTTATGAAAAATATTATAAAGATAGCAAACTTCGATTTATAAAATGTTTAATTTTTATGAAATGTATAAGGTGAAATACTGGATAAGTGGGAGGTGGTTGACTGACAGGACACGCATCTTGAGCAGGAAAAGATCCTCGAAATCGTCCTCTCCCTCTCCCCGCCATCGATTTAATTAATTAAATTTTTAAACAAAAGAGAGAATTCGCAGATAATTTGCAAGTCGACTTGTTTCATGCATCATGAAACCATGGAACCCAAGAAAAACAAAACCGTATACTTGGGGCTTATTTCTGTCCAACTTGAGTGCAAATTATGTTTTCAGAAAAATAAGACATAAAAGTAGAAAAAGGAAAAACGGAAATTAATTCCCTTTTATTAATATCATATGAAACATTTTAAACTCTAACAGCATTTTAAACTAATGAAAATTTGAACATTCCTCAATTTATGCGCAATAATTGAAAAAAAATACAGTATATCATAATTACAGAAATAGGCAGGAGAAAACGTTTCCCAAACAAAAATCCAAAACACCCTCCACCAAAAAATTTAAAAATTCTTCAATAATTTTGTAATTTGCTCCTTTCCGGAGTCTTTCCTTTCTAATAAGTTTTTTAACTTTTTATTGGTTTTGTGTGGGCAAAGACGCAGGATGATCCTGTTAGTTGAAGAAAACTATTTTTCAATGTAACAGTTTAAAAACGTTTATTTTCGTTTACTTACTTAGCCAGTTTTGTATTTTCTTTGACAACTAAAATTCATTTTTGAGAGAATCAATTTAAAAACATATATTTAAATCACACTTCTGTTTTCGTATCATTACTATATTTGAGTGATTTTTTTTTAAAGGAAATATAATTTTTAAAAATCCTACTTGACTTTCGAAATATGGAGGGATATTTCCGTATCGCGATCTGCCAAGCCAGCTAATATCGCCAAGGCAGGGTTGGGTTTTTGACGTCAAAAAGTGGTTTTTGACATGACAANTTTTGACGTGACGGTTTAAACCATGGTTTAAACTGTCAAAAACTGTCACATGTCAAAAACCTGCCAACCCTGCGCCAAGGTGCTAAATAGTTTTTGAAATTGCAAATGTTTTTTAAAAAACATGTAGCTGTTTGCCCTGGGGTGGCTATGAGTTATACCTTTCGAGTTAGTTCCTTACTGTGATGCTTTTTTTTTAGTTCCTCGATTGCCGCTGCCCGGATGTTGCCAACTCTTGACGATCACGATAAGTTAATCTCCCCCAAAATATCTTGCAGTAGGGAAGTAATCTATTCTTGAAATGATTTTGGCGAGATTTCCACATTGTGATCTGTGGCAGAATAATAGGAAAGTCTTGGCAACCTTCGAGCAGCAGCTTGTGAGAAACTTAAAAAGAAAAACAGCACAGAAAGGAACCTACTTGAAAGCTATAAGTCCTAGCCACCCCATGGCAAACAGCTACATATTTTTTTTAAAAATTTTGCAAGTTTAAAATCTATTTGGCATCTTGAAGCGTCAGATCACGATACGGTAATATTACCATCATTTGGAATATTGAAAATTATAAATTAATGTTTTCAAAAGACAATATCTCGCTAATTTAATAGCTAGTTATTTTATTAATTAATGATCAGAAATTGTGTCCACGCAAAACGTACTAGTGTAGATGTGGATGGCATCAATTCAGTGTAAATATCTGAGTAGAATCTGTGCTTAGTGAGAGTGCTAAGAATTGTTACTTCAAATCACTTTCTTTAAAATAAATGATGGGTTTGTCAAATGACAATCAGACAATTTTTTCATCTATTTCTGTTCTTATGGTGTTTAATTTTTAAAAATGGAACCAGAATTATGTAATTCCTAATTAGTAGAGAAATAAAACAGATAAGATGAGCTTGCTACTTTTTCCTCCATCGTTACTTGATCTTATAAAAATTATACTTTTTTAATGTGATTTTATTTTCCATTATTTTTTAAGGTTTATGTTCTTTTGCAAATATGAAAGTAATAAGCTGAAATTGATTTTGAAAGTATAAGCAGCATAAAAAAAATCACACCACTAAGTTTTAATTATGAATCTAGAAAAGTTAAGTTAAATAAAAAGAAATAAATCCAAGTAAATTTATTTTATTAAATTTGAATTGATGAAAATCAGTACTACTAACCGCTCATACATTTAGTGATTTCTTTAAAGTTCTCTCTGTTGAAGTTAAATCTATTATCTCTATTTTCTCTGCTACGAAATTAAATGTATAACTACACATGAACTTTTTAAAAGAATTGGTATGTGTTTCATTATCAGTCTATAGAGTAAAGTCAGATTAAAAAAAAAATTAAGCTGAAATATCATAACCAGTATTTTAATTTACAGCTATAATTTACATTGTTAATTTATTCAACAATGTTTATTATGTTATGGGTTTTATTTTATGAATCAGAGATTTATAAATTTAGGACTCCTATTTTAATTCAGAAATTTTGTGCTTGTATTTTAATTTGTCTTAAATAATTCCTGAGATTAATGTATTAAATTTATTTAGTTTTTTCTTTGTATGTATTTTAGTATCATAAAATTATCATCATATAATTTAGTATATTAATAAGCATTTTTAATTGGGTGCATTTGTCTATTTCGTTTTTTAGAGTAAGATCTCATAATCCCTTTTTTTTTTAACCCTTTGCTCTCTGGTATGGCCTCTAATTTTTTCTCAAATTATAAATGCTTATTAATAACATCATCTTATTGATTGTAATGAACTCTCTTTGGAGTATTTTCTGCCAAGTCATATCAGATGCCCTTGTAATGCAGAAACACTGTAATCACATCTGTGTGCTCTAATTTTGAATAAATTAAAATTGTTGTTATAAGTTCTTGTTTTAACTTGTAGGAAATTTCTCTGTGTATTAGCATTCTTCACTATTGTTGATGCGAAACCTAACATCATAATTTTAGTTGCAGATGACTTGGTAAGATTTTTCAATCTTATTTTTCTTTAATGTTGTAATGTTTATAACTTGTTCTTTTATAGACTGCGATCAGAGTCATTAATTTTTTATGTGTTGAAATATTTTATTTATTTCATTACAAACTTTTGTAAGTATTTGTTAAGTTTGTGTTAATATTTGTTTTGTAAATATTTGTTAAGTTTGTTTGTTTTAGTTGTTTAAAATATGTTATAGTTAGCAGTTTAATTAAAATATAAATCATATTTTGGAATTCTTTTAAACATTTATTAGCCAGGAGCATATATACTATAGTTAGCAGTTTAATTAAAATATAAATCATATTTTGGAATTCTTTTAAGCATTTATTAACCAAAAACATACCAGCCAACTCTACTGGATTTTGCCACTTTATTCTTGCCTCCTGGTCTATTGATAGATTCTCTCAGTTTTTATATATTGTAGCCCAAGGTGCAGAATATTAAGGGCCGGCGAGTAAGCTTTGTCTTACAAAATGTTGTGTTTCAAATCAAACTATCGTATTTTTCCTAGAGTTGTGAATTTTCAGTAGATAAATAGTAAAAATGGGAAGCAAATATAGTTTAAGACTGTAAGAGGGAGATTTATTAAATATGCAAAGATGTGCATCATAGAAAGATTGCATTCTATGTCAACAATTATTTTCATTCTCCACCTCCTATGGCGAGTTTTACAAATGGTTGAATGGTTGTTCATAATTTTTTACTAGTCCTAATAGTTGAGAGCCTACTGTATTTTAAAGAATTCTTTAAAACTAAGAAAGTTCCTGGAAACAGAACAAATCTATTTTTTTTCCTCTTTTACTCCCCTTATTATTTACATGGAAATTTAAACAAGTAATATTGCTAAGTGAAACATGATGGCACAAAGCTTAGGGCACTTTAGCTGTCATTGTGTAGTCAAGGTGAAATACTGGATCAGTGGGAGGTGGTTGACTGACAGGACACGCATCTTGAGCAGGAAATCGTCCTCTACCTCTCCGTGCCATCTATTTAATTATTTAAATTTTTAAACAAACGAGAGAATTCGCAGATAATTAGCAAGTCGACATGTGTGTTTGATGCATCTTGAAACCATGGAACCCAAGAAAAGCAAAACGATATACTTACGGCTTAATTCTGTTCAATTTAAGTACAAATTATGTTTTTAGAAAATATGACTGAAAAGTAGAAAAAGAAAAAACGGAAATTAATTAATTTCTATATTCAAGAAGAACTCTGCTTTTACCTTATAACTTTTCTAATTTATTTTATACTACCATATTCATTTATTATAATTTTTTTAATGGCTGGATTTTTGAAAAAAAAAAATGTGTCCTTGAGTCAACTAGAAATTTTACGAAAAACAAATTATTAAAATAAATCTGAAGATTACTGAACAATGATTGCAACCTTAAAGAAATCAGCCTAAGGGAAAAGCAGACCTTAACCTTACCCTTAAAAAAATGCGTAAAGGGTATTGGAGTAAAGAGTATCCTTGCAACGCGTAAAGAGTATACTCGCAAAAGAAAAGGAGTACGGTCCATTCCCAGTGTTAAGGGACTTAGGCTTGTAGACCTAGTGCTGCATGCTTATTGTTTCATAATCTTGCTCCAGAGCTCTATTCCTGATGATGCCTTGATGCATTCCCAATTTTAAATGGATACTGTATCAGCAGTACCTAACAATTTAATACTATATCCATGAGTACCAGCTTTTCTTAGAAATACTACACAGTGTTTCCATTGAAGAAAAAAAATGAGAGAGAATTTCTCACCCCTTCTCAGAAACAGGGGGAGATTTCAAAAAGTTAAGTGAGATTTCCAAAAATTAAAAAAAACACCAATAGACTTGGAAAAAAATATTTCTTTAATTATTATAATACATTTTTATAATCTAATTTTTAAAGCATTGAATATTTTTGCTGCATCATCATATGGAAAATGTTCTATATATACTTTTTCATCAGGTTTTCTCATTAGGTTGCTCAAATGTTTATCAGTCATTTGTCTATGATATTTTGTCTTAATTCGGTTTTGAGTGCTAAATGACCTTGCAACAGATGCTGAACAATTCGGAATCACTAAGTAAATTTGTAGCATTGAAAAAATCTAAACGTCTTACGTGAAGAAATTTTACCTTTGGTGAACACGTGGTTGCGGAGAAATGTGTTCTGAAAGGAGTTCCGTGGTTCGGAGAGGTTGTGTTCTGTTGCTCGAAAAAGTTCTGAACAATACTGGTAAATAGGGAATCTAGATAACGGGGCAAATGTTGAAAATAATGAAAGATCCAGGAAGAAAAGTGAAATGGATTTTATTCTAATTGGCGTAATTCGAAGCTTTTTCCAAAATGCGAGAAATTCGCGAATTTTGAAATTGATTTATAGAATGCGCGAATTTCTCGCGGTAATCATTTTTTAATGCGAGAAAAGAAAAAAATATGCGAGATTCTCGCGTTCTCGCGCTGTAGTGAAAACACTGGTGTTAAGCAACAAAATAACAAATCTTTAAAACCAAATATCAATAAGAAAGATTTAAAAATAAAGTTAAGATATTGTAAGTATTTCAGATACAGCATAAAATTTAGACATATTTTCATAACATAAAATTAATAATTTTAATAAATAAAAATCTTATATAAAAAATAAATTTGGGATAGATTTTCTATTAATTTACAAGCAACTTACTCTTGGAAGACATGGATCTTGTGTCCATCAACAACCAACATTCCACCTTCCTCATGGACATCTCCCTTGTAACGACCATGAGTAGAATCATATTTAAACATATAGACCTACAAAAAATGGTACCATACATTATTATGGTTGAACAGATTTTAAAGACTAAACAAAATATAACCATTTCTCGTTTTACAACAGAACTATTTTATAAATAGAAGTTTAAAATCTTCACAAAATAATTAAGAAACAAAACAACGTTTAAATTAGAGACACCAAGGTGATTCATAGGCTAAATTACTAATACTTTAAATGAAAAATNGCTGTTGAATTCTGACTTACTTTTTTTTAAATACTAAGCATAATTAGTACCAGGAAAAGTCCCGACCTTCGCGATCAAGGTTACTCCTATATTACAGTGTTACTTTGCATGCATCGCCAATGATGCTTAATTAATTGTAGTCATAAGCACTAGTGGTATTATAGTAATTAGTGCAGTTTTAATAGGTACAAGTTGTACAAAAATAGATACAATATATTATATTAGTATATTATACTATCAATACTGGGAAGCTTTGATATAAATACTGTTATTGGAGAAAATCGTGTGAATGATAAATTTTTATTGTCATGAGTTGGTCTCAATCAACAGCATCATACCAATCGATTCTGAATATAGTTGATCTTTATTTTTATGAAATGAACTAATAAAAACTTATTTTGCTTAATCTAATAATGTAAAGCCATTGGAAAGAGCAAAATATAATAAAACATTTTAAAAATAGTATTATTTTTAGCTTTGCTAATTGTGTTTGTATATGCCTATCAGTTATGTGTAGTATTGATGATCAGTTATGTGTAGTAGTATAATATATTGATTGTTTATTTTTTCCTCCCTGAACGAGGAAAGGGTATTCAGCTGATTCACTATAAAGGACAAAGTTTGTTTTACAGGGTTGCCACTCCACAGGGAAAACCTTGAAAATACAGGGAATTTAAAAATCACCTAAAATAACAGGGAATTTTGATTTTTTCTTCACAAACTGGGAAAATACAGGGTATTTTGTTTCTTATTTTTGTCTTTTAAAAAATGGTGACCACTCAAAGCGTAATCTATGGGATATTTAGCCATGATATTTCAGCTCCAATAAACTATTTTCTTTACTATAGCATTATTTAAATATGTTCAGCTGTTTTTCCAGCAATTAAAGCTAATAAATGTAGTTAACCCAACAAATAACTCACACAAGAGCGCAGTAATTGTTGTTTTCTCTTAATATATTGTGCATAATATGTTCAGGGAAAACACAGGGATTTGAGTGGCAACCCTGTTTTAGTATTGTCATAATATAACTCCCTGCTCATAAATATTTATAATTACAAATATTTTACCTTTTCTTTAATACTAGGTCATTATATCTTTGTTCATTCATTGCATCACTTTGTAAGTAGTATTTTATTGGTATTTGGTGGTGGGATATTTTTTGTTATTTTTCAGTTTTGTCTAATAAGCACTGCTTAATTTAATCGTTAATATAACTCAAATATCTGATTATTTAAAGTTAACTACAAAATTATCCTAGAATTTTCTGTATGGAACAAATCTTACCTCATTGAGTACGAATAGTTTATATATCATGTTTTATGTATTCATAGAATGAACTTTATACTTAATATAGTAAGTATTTTTTTTTGATGAATAATGTTTTGAAACTGCTTTATAGGGTTTCAATGATTTGAGTTTTCATGGTTCAGAACAGATTCCAACACCGAATCTTGACTCTTTGGCTAAAAATGGTACTATTTTGGACAATTATTATGTGTGTCCAGTATGTTCACCTTCAAGAGGAGCTTTGATGACTGGTTTATACCCGATACATACTGGTGAGTTTTATTATTTTTATGAAAGTTAGATAATGCAAATGCACGTTGAGTGTGCATACACACACATGGAAACACCTAAATTTTGGGGATAAATTTTTCAAATTAACAGAATAAGGGTTTTGATGTGTTTATGCTTTTCATTGAAGACATCTTTTTTAGTAACACAACAAATAAAACAAAAATAGTAGAAATCAAAAACATAACATCTCTATACGAGCACAACCTATGCATTCTTCTATCGTTCTAACAAGGAAAGAAAAACAGTTCTTGTTCATTTTTCCTTCTTGGGGGGGGGGGTATTAATCCTTCTCCCTGTCACAAATTTTCTTTCTTTTTAATGGCAGGTACTGAATTTTCGTTCTTCTCCTCGGAAAATGCCAGACGTGCTGCTTATTTAATGTTACCCGATTAGCCTAAGGCACAGAGGCAAGCAACATTACCCATGCTACAAATACCCGTTCATAGGGTGGGCCATATTCACACAGCTCTCACAACAGAGAGAAACATCCGAGCCCTGAGCGGGATTTAAACCCGCAGCTTTTGGCTTTGCACTCAAACACGGTAACAGCTCAGCCACCTGGCCGGCATTTCTCTTTTATAGCTATATTTTATATTTACCCAATCTCACAAATTTTTATTTTTAAAAATATATATAATGTTTATTATATTAATAAAATATCAATTTATAAAATTGACGTCATGATTTGTATTAAAGTGATTTATCACCCTATTTATATGTAATATTCACATGGTTTACAACTCCTTACTTCACATGTTTTTGAATCATACTTTTCGCTATTCATATTGAACTGATTTTCAAATTACAAACCTCAATTTAATCTCTGTTTGCAATTCAATCTCCCACATCAAGGCATATCACAAGTAAATAGAAGATCACAATTTGTATTCATATGGTTTCAAAATTGCAATTTGTGATTGATTTTTGCACACTTTATAAAAATCAACTATCATCGCAACTCATATTCACAGGTATTAAAAATCCAGTATTGTGTTTCATATTCAGATTTTGAAATCAAACAACACAACTTGTATTCAGGTGATTTATTTCAGAGATTTTATAAAACTTATTCAATTGATAAAAAGCAAGATTTTTATCCTGATCAAAACGCTTTAATATGTACTCACAGATAATTAAAGTCCCGCAGTGGACTGATCGTTAAGCAGATCACCGAAGTCAAGCATCACTGGCTGCGATCAGTGTGTGGGTGGTAGGACTGGGCTTTATACCGATGTAAGACAATATATCGATTTAACTCCAACATCGTAATACCGATTTATCCATTTCATCTTCAACAAAATTCCGGAGTGAGCATTTCGACTCTACTAAATCGATTTACTCATGAGAGCAAACGCTAAATCGCCGTTGCTCTCTCCGATGCAGTGAAACACCGGTTTAATCATTGCGAGAATGTACAGAACAGAGTCCAATCTGCCGTAGCATAAGGGAAAGATTCAAGGCCAACTATCAACTCATTCTCACGGTAACATGTGCATTCAACTTCTTTGGCTATTTGCCAAAATCACATCTGGTGCAGGGGTTGGTATAGTTAAATCGGAATGGGCTATTGAATCTCTTCATTCAAAACTAATTCACTAGGTTATATCGATATTTGGCGGTTGAAAAAGAAACTCCGATATAGCAGGGATCGGTGCAGTTGAATCTCCTCATTCAGATTTCAAGTTTATATCGATATTTGCGGAGGATTTTTTACCACCAAGTGTATGTGATTGTCTTCTCTTTAGAATTCCGATTTTAGGATATCTTGCTCGTGCAGGAGGGAAAATTCCCATCTTCAATTTTACATATCCTGATTTCTGAAATAGGTTTCTTTCCGTAATATCTTTAAATATCTTACCGGGTTTTCTTTCAGCGTGTATGTTACATTAATTCTTTCCGTACTGTTCGGTTTCTGTTTGCTCGCGCTAACTGAAGTCGCTAAATAAAATTGGTGTTTTGTTTTAATTGGAATAAATTGTAAAAAAATGTTTAGGAAATTTACTAATTTTATCTTTCGTAACTGCCTTTTTTTGTGATCTTTTTAATTATTATTATTCTTTTTCGTTAATTTCTCGCGTGTTTATTATAAATTTTGGGAGATTTATCTTTTTATGGCGCATTACGGGGCTATTTCCGTATCGTTCGGAAATAGCCCCGTAATGCATGCGCAGTTAAAAGATTTCACCTTTCGAATAAGACGTGTATCGTGATGTTTTTTTTTTTTTAAATTTATTATTATTTTTTTTTTGTAGTTTCTCGCGTGCATAATGTTAAGTTTAGAGATTTATCTTTTTAAGGCATGTGCATTACGGGTCTATTTTCGTATTGTTCGGTACCTGTTTTCTTGCGTCAACTGAAGTTGCAGTTTTGTTTTACTTGGAATCAATTGTAAAAAAATATTGAAAGGGGAAGTTAACGATTTTTAACTTTCAAATTAGCCTTTTTTTGTGGTGTTGTTTTTATTTAGTTTCTTGCGTGCTGCTGCCGGAAGTCACCGATGCTTAGCGATTACTTTGGTGCTGATATGGAAAATCTTACCTTAAACGTATTTTACTAAAAAATTAAGTCCCGCAGAGGACTGATCGTTAAGACAAGGTTCCCAGCAGATCACCAAAGTCAAGCATCACTGTCTACGGTCAGTGTGCGGGTGGGTGACCACTTGGATCAGTCTGCGTAGGGACCGAGGGTGTGCGGTATGGGTCCTTGTTAAACTGTTCTACCGTAAAGTGCTCGACTTCGTGTGCAGGTCGTTGAACTACCAAAGCAGGGGTGCCATCCCCTCTGCAGAGGATCAAAATTGTGATGGCTTGTCTTCGGATCATCCTCAGGGATGTTTCCCAGACCGTGGCCAATAGCCCATTGTGCAGCTCTAGTGCGACGTAAATTAACTACTACTACTACTACACAGATAATTAAAAAATAGCAATTTTTTTTAAATCTTTTTCTTGGAGCTATTTTTATTTATTTTTTATTATTCAAGAGTGGTCCAAATTTGTGTCCAAGAATTGAAATCTCAATTAATATTTATGAAATGTAGGTATTTTTATTTTTTTTAAATAATATGGTTTATAATTTTTATGATTTAAAATTAAGTATTAAAACTTCCAAAAAGAATTTTATCACTTTCTTCTTAGTTAAGAAAAGTTTTAGAATTTATAATTTTCTAAACACACCCGCTTATTCAGCCAGGCATTTGAAACTAAGGACCAAGGACTTTCATAATTATGGATCCCCTTTCGTTAAAAATGGTTCCCTTTTTAAGATATGAATTTTCTTCCTCTTTATCCATCTATTAATATGCTCGTTCATTTCATGATTATTCTATATATTGATGAATAAAACAAAGAATTTCAAAAAAAGAAAAAGAGAAAAATTAGAGAGACAAATGAGTCGTATTTGAATCATCAAGGATTTTAATTAAAAATGATAAAATACCTGCATCAAAGAAAGGTGAACGGTGTCATTTGATTCTCAGAAATGTTCAAATTTTCTCTTAGAACTAATAATAAAGATAAAAAAGAAATTTTTTCGTAATATATTTAAAACTCGATAATTATTTTGCCTCAAGATATCTTTGCTTGCAATGAATTCTCCAGCAATTGCTGTGTTTGACGTGTTTTAGCGAAGCATAATCATTGTCAGTTAAGTTGCCCTGTTAAGTATTTTTTCTTGAAGCCACAATCATCCCTGAATTAATTTATTTTTTAATTTAATCATGTTTAATAGAATGTGCTCAGCCACCAAAAGGAAAAGATTATTATTTTGCCTCAAGATATCTTTGCTCGCAATGGATTCTCCAGTGATTGCTGTGCTTGACGTGCTTTAGCATGCAAGACGAATCACTGTTAGAATAATCCCCAACGCAATAAATTTTATAGAAATCTTTTACATAGTTTTTTTTTTTACAGTTTTCTATATTTATCCACAATTATTATTTTTTTAATGCAATTTTTGTACTTTATGCATTTCATTTCAAACATATGCATGAGAAACATATACATAGAAATGAAATGCATTGCATTTCTTTTTGATATTATGCTAAGAAATTGGTTACCATACTTTTTTTCTGTGGAATCAAGCCAATAATATGAATTGTATATTTCTTGATATATTGTGAGAAAAATATTTTCTATCATAACTTTGTTTTAAAAAAAATCTTAATAGGAAAACAGAGAAGTTTTTACCAGCTACAGTTCGTGTTCTGAGACTGAAATAATCCATCATTAATTGTTTTAGGATTGCAACATGGTCCGATTCCGTCTTCTCATCCGTATGGTTTATCTTTAAAATTCCGTTTGCTGCCTGAATGGCTAAAAAATATGACTTATGACACTCATGCCATTGGCAAGGTCAGTAAATTATTCATTTCCTTCTCATTTGCAAACATTGGATTGCCTAACACTTTCAGAACTAGGAAAATATCAAAAAATTGTTTTAAATGTTTTTTTAATGCTCTTGATGGATTTTTGCTTATGTAATGAGCACTAAACAAAAGTATTATTTAAAATTGAAAAGAAATATCTGTCCCGATTCTTATAGAACTTTATTTTCATAATTTTTCTTAATCTTTAAGTTCTTTCCTGTTTTAAATCTGATTTTATGGTAATGAAATTAGTTGGATTTTTATAGAGGTTACATTAAAATGTTTGTGAAGTAGCAATTTTAATTAGATATTTTCATTCCATCTATTGAACTGAAGGAATTTTATTTCATCAAATTTTATTTCCGTCGGCCCACAACGTAAGAAAGCTCCAAACACTTAAAAAGTTCAATTAAATACTTGCAGGTGCGCATACTGAACTTGGTTCGGTGAGATTCTTGCTTTCTCATTTGCACGATATTCTCAATTTCAGGTTTCATTTTCTACTCTCTGAAATCGAACCAGAAAAATCTCTCGATCTTTATCGTGGTGGCTAATATAATCAAGAAAAGAGTTGTTTATGTCAGAAACTAACTTGTTTTATCATGATTATGTGAAAGTCTTAAAAAATTATTTTGCATTTTGTTAACGTATATGGTACTTAAAAGGTGTTTAATGTTTGTTGAAAGATTTAGCTACGCACCCAGTGAGACCTGTTTTCCATTGTTTTGTAACTACCCTTTTATCAATCACACATGAATTGTCTTGCCCGTAGATTTGTTTTACTTGCAAACCACGGTAACCGCTACCCTCCAGCACAACAGTGGAGGAAGCAAATAATTGCAACATCGGCCGATTATTTTTAATCTAAATTTAATTTTTAAAAATCAAACAAGCAAATGGAAGAAAATTACTAAATTACAAACTGAACTATTTATTCTTTGTTTTTAGTATCATTGTATTAAATTCAATTTAAATTAAAACAAAATAAAGTTTTTCTGAACAATTTTTAAGGACTTTATATTTGTACACTTTACTACATTTCGTGTTAGATTAATTTAAATTTTTAAAATAATCTCTCTGATTGTTGTGAGGGACAAATTTGGATTTATGAAGAAAGCACTGATTCAATGGGATACCTGCAAGTGACATTATTTATAATATTATTATAAATAATGTCACTTGCAGGTATCCCATTATTATAATTTGATATTTTGTTTTAAAGGATGCTGATTTCTTAATCAAATGTATAGTAAAGTGCAAATGTAATCGCAAGTAAATTTTGTGTGGGTATCTCGATCCTGATTGGTTGTTGAAACATGGCATTTGTTTACGTTAGCAACCGTTCTTTCCATTCTATTTCGTGTAAGCCAAGCTCGTCAAGAATCAATTATCTTAAGTGGCACATTCTAAATTCTTTCACAAAGATTCTTTCTCAAATATTTAAATTTTTTCACTATATATTTACATCGTGACTCAACACAAAGACAGACGAGAAGCTGTGGGGAACATAAACAAACAAATTATGTATCAAAGTTGCTAGGTACACGAAACAAGAATATATCAGGGTTTGCAATACATAAACAAATAATAAATAAAGTTAAGTAAAAGAAGAAGACGAGAAAAAATTATATATTTTAGCTAATTCTATGTGCGATAAGACACTGTATTTAATTATCTTATCTTTAATTAACATTCTTACTTATGTAGGGAAACTTTAATACGCCATTTTGCTGATAAAGATTAGCTGGCGCTGACGTCATATGTCACGGGTGTGGGTATGGGAGATCTTCTTCGGGAGGTGCATGTACCCAATTCTTATATTCTCAGGGTTCTTGCTGTCCTAAAATGTCCTAAAAAAGTGCTAAAATTTTTTCTCAACTTTTTTAGGGCCTAAAAAGTGCTAAAATTTCTTCTGAGTGCTAAAAAAGTGCTAAATATTTTTTATTTTGGCGTTTTGAAAATTTTTTTGAGTGATCGGATTCCTTAAATCGGTTTCCCTAAATCCTTAAATTCTGTTGCCTTCAGCTCTCCTGCTGCCTCCATCTTTTTAGAAGATTCTTGGGCTTTGGGGAAAGAAGTTCTTTCTTCTGAGATTTTATGGGCTTTAAAAGTTGTAGAAAGCTACTACTCCTACAATTCTTCCAAAGACACTGGAAAATTATTTAGTACAATGTTTCCAGACAGTTCAATAGCACGTCATTTCACCTGCAGTGAA